AATCCGGGTGGTGGGTACCGAGTGCTCCTTGTGCGCTTCTGACTTTTCTGTGTTTGGAAATTATCGTGATGAAATGCCGAGCAAGGGAGAGACCCGATGGGAACGGGTTAGTCCAACATCCCAACATTTTGATGTGACGGGGTCCTGGCCACAGCCACGGCGTGAGGACAGGAACAATCCCTTTCCGTAGAGACAGGCCTGCCCTGCGCCTCCTTTCAGCCCAGGCCACTTGCAAGAAGCCTTTGGAAAGCTCCCGGAGTGGGAGCGGGGCTCTGAGTGGCCACAATAGCTGCTTGTCGCCACTTCCCCGGGGTCTTGGCAGGTCTCTGCGGGGCTGTGTCCCGAGTTGTGTGAGGTTTGGCACCTGAAGACAATGAAGGCGAAGGAGAGGATGAGAGGCGGGGAGGGCGGCCAGGAGGCGGCCTGGGCGCTTCCCCTCTCCCCTGTCCCCCCTCAGCCCCGGGGCCCCACCCACTTCTCATGGATGTGGGGGTGCGTGTTGGGGGCTCAGCTTTGGGGATGGAGTGCCATTCCTCCCAGGTTCCGGGGTGGCCCCAAACCCACATCTTTCAAATCCTCATGGTCTGCCAATCTTCATGGGGCTCAGAGGCCTCAGGTGCGGCTAATGCAGGCGGCCGTCCCTCCACTTGTTTTATTTCTCTGCTGGGAACTAGAGGAAGCAGGTTGGCATCCTGGTGAGTAGGTTAGCATCCTGGTTAGCAGGTTAGCATCCTGGTGAGTAGGTTAGCATCCTGGTTAGCAGGCCCCCAGCCGTTAGCAGGTTAGCATCCTGGGAGTTAGCCCCATCCTGGGAGTTAGCATCCTGGGAGGAGCCCCATCAGCCTGCTCCCCGGGGAGAGGGACACTGTGGCTTTTGAATTCAGTGAATGAAGTTAGGCCATGGGCAGCCGCCTGCTCCTCCCCGCTCCTCCCCCACAAGGCTGCAGGCTCAGTCAGACGCCAGCCTGGGAAATGCCAACCCGCCGTGGGGAGCCCAGGGCGTGGCCGCTGTCCTGTACGTCCCACGCAGGAATGCAGGGCCTGAGGAGGGCAGCCTTATCGGGAACCCCAGCCACCTCTCCTGCCCCTTTAAAACCCAACTTTTCTTATTTGACATTTTAAAAAAATTGAAGTCTAACACATACAGAAAAACATATCGATCTTGATAAAGGAGCATTGACTACCAGACAAATAGAAAATGCACAGGTGTCAGAGATCCCGTTTAACTCATTAACGAATGAGGGAACAGTGAGAGGTACAATCTGTTACCGTTGGTGGGAAGGGTGATCAAGAGTAGACACAGCCCTGGCTGGTCTGGCTCAGCGGTTAGAGCGTCCGCCTGCAGACTGGAGGGTCTCAGGTTGGATTCTGGTCCAGGGCATGTACCTCGGTTGCAGGCTCAGTCCCCAGCACATCTGGACGTGTGTGGGAGGCAACCAATCCATGTGTTTCTCTCATTCTCTCCTCCTCCTCCTCCTCCTCCACCACCTCCTCCTCCTCCGCTTCCTAGTCCAAGATAAGCGCCAGGACCTAGTGGCCAATGTCTAAGGCGTCACGCACCGCGGTAGAGATACTGGGACTCTGGCCGTTCTCTGCAGCCCGTCGTCTTCTGTCTACCGCAAAAAAACCTGTTACCCTCTAAGTTCTTGCAGCTATTTCATAGCACAACACAAGTTCATTTCCCTTCAACGAAGATTATATCCGGGTACATTTTGTTTTTAGTCTAAGTTTGTTCATTTCCAGGAACTCAAATCCGGTGGTATAGTCCTCTGCAAGAACCTTGGCGTCTCACAAAACAACAAGTGGGTTGTATATGCTTCTTGAGGGAGGAGATCACTTGAAATAGATGCTTGACTTG